TCCTCACCTTTTGGGACTCAAACAAAATCCAACTGAACCTCCCAAAACATTTAATTGTCAAGAAAGAATGCATGCGTTGAAGAATCCAGCATAACCATGTGCAAGGAGGCTATATGTAACAATGCTGTGATCATTACGAGGGAAAATGCCAATGCGTGTGTATTCGACACACTTGCCTTTAATATAATTTTAATGCATTCAATAAAAAAATATAAAATTCTTTTAAAAATTCACACGTACGTTCTCTCTGACGTGGACGTAAGTGGTGAAAGCAATTACACTTTTGAGATCAAGGTTGTTCTGAGACTATTCGCAGTTGCATGATAGTGAATAATTACGGCGAATATATTTTATGTCTCCGAGTGTATCGCGAAATTTTTCCTTTGTAATGTATGTTTGTTTGGTTGTCTTTGACCTCTATTTAATGATATTCATCATTCTTGTAGCAGAAGATGACGAATCGGTGGAAATAATGCCAAGACCTATGTAATGAATTAATAATACTACAGTGAAAGGAGAGAGTTTAATATAAACCATGAAACAATTAAGTACCAAATATTATGTTATGGCAGGGTATTTTCAATATCATTTCACAGCCTCACCTCCATATATTCATGTCTTAAACATGCCACGTAGCACTGGGAAGAACCGCGATACTTATTATATATATATATTTTTTTTTTCGCTTTTCTTTGTTATGTAGTGAATTTATTTATATAATCGCATGAATAATAATAACCTTAAGTAATTATTGATTATAAGGATATCAATAATAAATAGGCCTACTCTTGAAAATTATATTGATTGAAGTGATAGTAATGATGATAACAATTTGATAGCAACATTGTTACTGGTATGCTAAATGAAAGAATGCTAATCATTCAACATAAATAATGCTGTTCCTACAGCTAATGCTAACAATAAGGACAATACAAGACAATCATTAATTTGATGCAGAACATGAGGTGGTTATTGATGACGTCACTGTAGATTCTTATTGATGATAATACCACGTTGACGTCACGCCAGTTTCAGTTGGCTTTCCATACGTTCCGGTGATAGTCCCGATGAGAAAGAGGCACAGTTACCCATACATAAGCACATATATTATTATACATACTATCATTACCATTGTTATTATCATGATTATGATTATTATTACCATTTTCATTATCATTATTGTTAACATTATTATCATTATCGTCATTATTGTTAACATCATTATCATCATTATTGTTAACATCATTATTATCATTATTGTCTTAATCACCATTATACTTATTATTCTTAATGCATTATACTTGCTATTATTATCGTCATTATTATCCTCATCATTGTTGTTAGTACCATCCATATTACCATTATTATTATTATAAAATCATAGTTATTATTTAGTCAGTTATCATTATTATTACTTTTCACTTGAACATCTGTTAATAAGCATAGACCGCTCCATTGTCTAAATGCATAGACACAGGACAAGAGATGGCAAGTCATGATTTCATTATTTCAGCTTTAGACATTTTTGTAAAGATTTGTTCTGTTAAGGGAAGGGTAATTTGTCGTAGTTACAGCATCTTAAGTTAGGATTGGAAGTTATTACAAGATTTCATCGATAGAATTCTTTTCAGAGTATGGGCAGTGCTATTCAAAACAATTTTCCGCATTCTTTGAGTCTCCCATTGCCAAGGATCTCTTTTGCAATAGTCCTCGGCATCTCTGCTTATTACACCGAGAACTCCAACAACAAGAATGGTACGTGTGTTTAATTCCCACGGTTTTGTTATTTCAGTTTCAGGATCTATATATTTTGGAAAAATTTCAAAGGTTTCCGAAGAGACGATTGTGTCAGCTGGGATCGCCATGTCAATCAGAAAGTTTTTATTCGATTCCCTCTCTCATGGGCGTACGAAGGATTTTGAAGTGGGGGGGGGGGGGTGAGTTCCCTCAACATAGCCAGGGGCTCTGGGGGCTGCTGGCTCTTTGTGGGGTCCACCTGACAAAGCCCCCGAGAGCTCCTGTATTTGAGCAGTTTTAAAGAGATGAAATTAATTTCTGCACTAAAATGTCATGCATCTTTATCTAGATAATACTTGACAAAATGGTTATTTAATGAAAACCTGCCTCAGTTGTAGTTGCCCACTCAGCTGCAAGAGGTCAGTTTTCTCAATGATTGGGTATTTAAGGAATTGCAGTTTACTCGTTTACGGAGAATGTCCTCGAAAGTTGAGTAATAGGGTGGGTGGGGGGTGGGGGGACAAAAGTTGGGTCCCGCTCCAATCCATTCGAGAGTGGGGACGGTCGCCCCCCGGCCCCCTTTCCATACGCCTATATTATCTGTAATAAGTGTCTGGGGGCTTTGCTTGAATAGTTGTGTGTGGATTCTGTATGGATCGTGAAATCCCAAAGAATAGTAATGTGTTCGTTTCTTGGAATTGCCTCTGGTTTGTGTTCGCACTATTTTTCATGGACATCAACGCTGTATTGCAGGTATGATTGCCAGTGAATTTACTGCCCAACTCTATCATGTCTATTTTTGTACCTGACACTAAATGGTCAGTGGTTTCCTTGGACCATTACAAAAATGACAGCTGGAGTCACCTGAGGCTTTTGCGATGTTGGTTTGATAATTTTTCGTCGGATGACTTTGGTCCTGGACGGCAAGAATGTATCCTTAAGTTTCAACTTTGAGACTGGTGTTGCGTTGCCATTGAAGGGGATGAAATTGGTTTACAACGGCTTTGGATACACGGGAGGGAAATATTCCGAGCAGTGGTTTCCCTTGCCATGGTGTTTTGATTTGTTTTAGCGCTTGCTTTTAGAATTTAGATGCTTGTGTTAATGGCATTACAGGGCGAAACTCTTCATTTATATTTATATCAGGTTCAGATTTATATTTAAGGGATTACTTGTGAATGGAGTATCATTTCTTACTCCCTTCATGTTTGACACCAAGTCGTTGGATGTTCTGAGTTATTCATGAAGGCCAATAGTAGTCGTTTTAAGTGACATTTCTAACTGGGTAAGATCCCTTCCTCCCTCTTTTCTGGGTAGATTAACCCTATCTACATCGGCTTTGGGTGATGCATTTTGTTTGCCGTGAGAAGTTTCTTTAAGCTTCTAATTCTGAATGCTATCGCTGTACATGCCAACTGGCTCTGGAAGACTGTTTATGGCGGTGAAGCGGTTTTTCGAATCAAGTTCGCTGCTTAAGGTAAATCTGACTCCTATTTAGTATTCATTCTTGACTTTTCTTTCATTTGGTTATGGTTGATGCTTGCTCCTTTACTGAAATTTACATACTTATATGCTTCAATTTGGCAAAGTTCTTTTATTTTTGTGTCAGGGCTAAATTGATGTTGTTTGTGTTACTTTATCTCTCTTTTTAGCGAGTTTGTCACTTTGGTCAATTCCGATTTCTATCTCAGCATCATCCCTAAAGAATTTTACTATTTTAAGCAGACCTTCAAGCTTTTCAACATTTTTGAAGTGTAATCTGATGTCATTTATATAAAAGAGGTAATTTAAATGTCATTTATTTTATACCAATAACCAGTGTCGTTAAGTCCATGCGAGAGGTGAATTAGTGCTTTGCTGAAAAGAAGTGGTGATAAGCAGTCCCTATAAAAAAACCCGCTTCGTACGGAAATTTCCTCAGATTTAAATACATTCTTTTCATGCTTGAGGGTAAGAATTTTTTGCTACATGATCATAATATGTTTGATCTCCAAATTTCAAAGGTAGTTTTAGTTATGATGGCTGAGGGACTTTCTTAAGCTGAGTAAAATGCTTCCATGACTTCGAGTGTATACTTCGTGAGTCTATTTGAGACTTTTCTTTCGTTTAGCGGTTGTACGGGCGGCGGTTTCAAGATTGGAATTATTCCTGTTTTGATCACCAGGCGCCTCGTTTGAAGAGCTTGTTCCAGCAGCAGATTTTTCGACCTCAGACTGGTACCACACTGAGGGACGCGTCTCAAGTCGAACCGCGCGACGTACTCAGATTTGCAAAGTTACCTTCGCCGGGGCCTTTTCTCATGGCCGCGACGGGCGGTGCGGCATGAATCATCTGACTGAGACATCGCTGAGATTGAAGCTCGTTTTATCCTTGGCGCCAAGAGGCAGCGAAACGCGATGTACCAGTCTAGGATGATGGTCAGTCAGGACTAAAGAGCTCATCCTCCCCTTATTAATTTATTCGTGAATCCACACTACAGAAATTTTCTTTAAAACGTTATTTAAAACGTTTATGTTAATTTAACTTAATTAGAGGTAGTCCGATATCTACCCTCTGCTAACACAGGTGAGCTGACGTATTATTGTTATTATTATTATTACTGTTGTTATCAGTATTATCACAAGAATATTATTATTACTATTATCATAACCAATATTATTGTTGCTATTATTATAAACATCATCATTATTATTTTTGTTAATATTTTTGTATTATCACTATTATCATTATTTTATCATCATTATCATATTATTATTATTGTTATCACATTTACTATTATCATTACAAGTATTATCACTATTATTTGTAGTAGCAGAAGTATTATTATTATGATTGTTATTATCTTTATTATAATTGTTATCACATGGTATCTATCATTATCATAATCCATTTGCTATTATTAGTATTATTATTATCATTATGATTTAATATTTTCGTTGCCTTATCCTTATTCCCAATATTGAGATGGCTGCAATGCTAGGGTCGCAGATACTTAAATTTAATGTAGTTGATAAAGAATGATGGTAAAAATGTTGTAATGCAATACTTACTTATTTCTCGTTTGAAACCGTGTATCAACATGAATACCTTACCACGATTAAAAAAACTAACAAATAAATTCAATAATTGATGCAAAGTTAATGTAAGCAATAAAAATTAGAAAGTATCTGTAGGTATGTGTTTGCACCAATATAATGATGAGAACGAAGTCGCTGCCATGTGTCCGAACGCAAATGAAAATTGTAAACAAATCCAGCTGACACATGTGACACTGCTGGGGCCGCTTCACACCGAAGAACTTCTTTGATATAGTGTAATTTTTTGTAAGGGATAGGATTTCGTTGTTTATTTGAAGTACTGATTGGATAAGGTCTCTTGCGTAGACGTAGACTATTGTAAAAGGTAATAAGGGATACTTATACCAATAATGTACTGCGTTTGTACTATATGTTTTATTACGTGATTATAGATATTACACATATTATTCGCCTTGGGTGTTATTTCTCAACCTGTTTTACTTTTATTTAGGTATCCGTTAGTATTTTCGAACATCATATCTACTTGAGAAGATGTGTAAGGAGAATGTCAGTCTAGAGGTAGTGTGATATACTTAGTACTAATAGATGCATATGTGATAAGTGAGTATTTCCTGCGTTTGCATGCCCTAAACACCGAAAGAAGAAATGCCATTTAAACATCCATGATATCAATAATTCGTTTAGAATATCTAGATATATTTTTAGGTGTATCTGGACATTTTAACATAACAGTGGCTTGCCTGAGGTAACAAAATTGACACTCTGATTTTGTGGTAGGCTATACACAAGTTTGTGTGTACTTGATCTTGAACCTAAGACTTGATTCAACTACCAATTGACTCCTGTAATACTAATTTTTGAGTTGATTTTAAACAACAAAAATAAATAAAATGTACCCAAGTGAAAAACCAATTGAATCTAAATGAAAGTCATGATAAGTTTCCGACTTAAACTGGGTCCTGATATCCCTCCTAATCAAACACTCATCTTCTGTATGATTGATTTGCTGAGGAAATTATACAATAATGTTCCAGATTAGTGATGAACTGTATACATAGTTATGGAAAATATTATTTAAATTGATCCAAGGCACATCCGTCTTCTATTTAGGCATACAAAGGTGAGTATACTGGTTATAGTGCAAACTGTAACCAGTATACTCACAGGATTCCCGAAAGGTTTTTCTAGTCTTGTAACAGACTTTTTGATCCATAGACTCAAAAAAACAATTGTGTGCAATTGGATAAGGAGCGATTATTTAGTGTAGTAATGTATAATATAACGCATGGAGATTGAAGATGACATGTCATTTAACATTTGATGATGATGATGATGATGATGATGATGATGATGATGATGATGATGATGATGATGATGATGATGATGATGATGATGATGATGATTGATAATTGATAATTGATAATGATTGATGATAACCATTGGTGATGTGGAAGAGATGATTTTATTATACTTTAGTAGTTATTAAACAATAAATTAATGTTTGTACTAATTGCTTTAGTGTTCAGGAATTTGAGCTTCTCTGGTATTTATAGTTTCCAGACTGAAATATCTAGCTATGATTTCTTATACCCACAGCTCATCATAAGGATGGAAAAGAATAAGCACTCCCTATTGTGTCTGCTCATAGTTCTCCAGTGTGGGATGGCCTTAGGACAGAAGACTTCAAATGTGGATGAGTTACTTAACTGGTGTTTGGATGCAAGGCACCACAAAAAGTTGCCTGGACCAGAAGGGGATCTTTTTAAACAGGTACATGAATTATGCTTAGGAATTTGAAATAGATATGAAACATATTTATATATAGTTTGGCAGAAATTTATCACATGTATCATATTTTACTATACATAATGGATTTTTTTGTTTCTTATTGCATAAATATACTGTATGAAAAAATTGTATGAATTGCAGTGTACTCCATGGAAAACGCGATCTTGTTGCACAGAGGAAGTTACAAGGAAAATTCATGAAGACAGTCTTTACAGTTTTAATTTTAATCACTGTATGCATCAGACAAAGAAGGAAATGTCACGTGAATGCCACAGACACTTTAAACAGGACCACTGCTTCTATGAATGCTCTCCAAATGTTGGTCCCTGGGTTGTGTCGGTAAGATGTCTTTTTTTATTTCTGTTAATCATTTATGAAAAAATGTGATTGCAAATGAAAGATTGCATTTGCAGTAAGTTGAACAATGATTGTTATTATTAAGTAACAAGTATAGGTCTTCCTTCTTTTTCTTGGCCTGTTTTAGATGATTAGATAAGGGGTGAACAACACTTAGATACAGTGAATTAAAATTCTGCATATTGCAATATTTTCCAAACTAATACACTCAGTGATAAGAAAAACAAACTCATAGCAACTTTAATTTTACAATCAGCATTTCAATTTTCATGCTATTACACTCACTTGAACAGGAAAAACGATCATGGCGGAAAGAACGTTACTTCAAAGTCCCACTCTGTGCAAGTGACTGTGAAGCATGGTTCAACAGCTGTGCAGATGATTACACTTGTACAGACAATTGGTCACGGAATTTTGATTGGCTTGAGAGTTCACAGTGTACTTCGGGTACAAAGTGCAAAACCAATTTTTGTCCCAAGGGGTCAGACTGCAGGACATTCAAGGAGATTTACCTGACTGCTCAGAATTTCTGTGAAAAAGTAAGTAACTCTATATTAATTAAGATTTTGTTGATAGGCGCTTTGGTGACCACCAAATGCATATAAACATTTGTGTAGATGTTTAATGAATAAATAAATGGTTTAGTAATGGCAAAAAAAAGTATAGTGCAATATATTGCAAATGACTAATTAATTGCGTATTAATTCTAGCAAAATTTCATTAAGTAATGGAAATAATGAGTGATTTTATTATCAATTATTATTATTTACAGGTTTGGGATGATGCATGGGAATACACAAATGACAGTAGCCCATGCATGCGATTGTGGTTTGATGGAATTAGAGGAAACCCCAATGATCTAACTGCTAAACATTATGCCTTTGCAATTGCAGGAGCAGAATCTCTCTCAGGCAGTTTGCAATTCTTAATTGCTGTGATAGTTTTAATATGGACTGTTTATTAATTGTACTGCCAGTACTCACACTGTTTGGTTTAGAATTGTAAGTGTACCATATCGAGAAGGGAATGTTATTCTGTAACATAAATCATACATTTTTTAAAGAAAATGATTCTAAAATACTTACATTTAGCGACTTACATTCTAAAAGTAACATGTTTGAAAACTAATGTTTGGGTTTCGTAATGAATTTCTAAATTAAACCTTATGACAACCCAAGAATGAAAGACATAATATTATGTTTAAGCAGTAATTGACTCAGGTATTTTTTGAACAGGTAAAAGGCACCATTCCATCCCTGTAGGCTATGTAAGATATATTACTTTGTACTTAAAATCTAAATACTTAAACTGTTGATGGTTCAGAGAGCACAATCATTTATATTTTTTTATACTAAACAATGATGTGATTATTACAGCCTTCCCTTTGCCCTGGAATTACCATAAAATCCCCTTTGCCCTGGATTTACCATAAATCAAGCTCAGTTCTTTTCTACAAGAATTTATATGCACTTTTAGTATAATCGTAATTTCATTTTCAGCTTATAAACTCTTCTTGCATAATAAGTGGTTACCTAATATTTTTTGTGATATGAGGTATGAAAGTGAATGAATGAGTTTTGTGTAAAACAAGTAATTAAAGTTGCAGTATTACATCTTCATCAGAATTATATGATAATTCTCATAAAGACGTAATATTAAAACATCTCTTGTGCTGAAAAGTCTTTCATTCATATTTGTACCTTTTCTAACTTTGTTAGAGTGAACTCTGTACAGTTTGTTGTGAGATTATTATTGTTTTTTTATGATTATAAATTTAAGTACTGGGAAAGGGCACTGCCATTCTTTAAGCAAAAAGTTGGAAATGCTTGATGCATGTATGAAGTGCATGTATTTAAGATTTTTATTTAAAAGAGACTTTTTAAAGTACAATACAGAAATAATACTTTTAAATGTACTTATTGTAGTTAGAACAGTGTGAGTGAAATTAATAATATGACAGAAAAATTTGTATATTCACCATTTCAACTCAAATATTTATATTGAGAATGAATCTGGTTAATAGTGGTTGTATATGACAACTTATATACTGTTGCATGTGTGTCAACCAAGTACAGGAAGGTGTGTAGTTTTATTATTTGATTTGATATTAATCAAAACAATTTTTAATATATATGTGTATGTATTTTGTAGAAAATTATGGGCTTAAGGTGTAATTAATGTTGAAGTTTGTATGAATATAAATACTCACAGAGAAATAATACAAGTTAATACTCAAGATGATATTAAAATGGGAGGGTGTATTGCAATCCTTTTTTGCTCTCTCTTTAATGATAAACTTGATACACGTAATGTCCCACTGACCATGATTTGCCGGTTTACGTGCTTACCTTCCAATACTGAAGGCTAGCATTTGCAATCAAAAACTGGTACGTGTTAGGTACAGAGCAGTTCTAAAGTCAGTCCTGAGAGGGCATCCTAGTTCGAAATGGGAGAGTTGCAGGTATGAAGCAGGGTTTACTATCCTTATTGTAAGTATATATTTGTTGATGTGATAAGGTAAGTTGTTCTTCTTCTTCTTGATATTATTATTGTTATTGTTATTGTTTATTATTATTATTTTTTTGTTATTATTTTTGTTATTATTTCTTACAAATTTTATGACTATTGTTACTATTACAGGTATTTTTATTGGTATTAATATTTTGATATTATTATTTTTTTATATATTCATTTATTTATTTACTTTTCACACAAACTTTAGTTGTTGTTTTTTAGGAATAATGCATTAACAAATGCGCTATATTTGTTCACATTACGCGATAAACAACCAACATTTACACTCAAACAAGGGGTTGAATAAAGAAGATTATTGTTTGTATTTGCATAGTTATAGGTAATGCTCATGATTATGGTGTATGCTTTTTGGTTTTGGATTTGTTTGGAAAATATTGTTCCTCTGGCAGATAATATTAGAAGCAAAACATTATATTCTGATCAAATGCATATGAATATTAGTAATTGAGTTTTAAAAGTCCAGTTGGACTGCTTTTAATTTTTGCATAATTTTCTCAACATAAAGCTTAACAGTAATGCATTGTTTTTGACAGCTTATTTTACTA